GTTTCATAAGTGAATACCATAATCTAGTGGTTCTCAACCTTGACTGCTATGCATTAAGGTCCCTAGAGAGTTTATAAAAATCCAGATGTCTCACACACCAGACCAATTAAACCAGAATCTCTGGGACTTGGGCATCACAATTTTTTAAAGTTCCACAGGTGAATCCAGTGTGCAGCCAATCTTTAGAAGCCCCTCCCATAGACAGTTGAAAATGTAGTGAGACTAAGCTCAGGAAAATGTAATTATCCTGAAATGGCAATTAAAGGCATGAATGGTATGCTACTTTAATTATACTATCAACCACTGAGAAAAGTGCTATGGAATTATCAGGATGTAATGATTTGGATTTGCCTTTATCTGTGAACCAATAATAAAAGATTGTCTAATCAGAATTCCAAAATTTGGTACTAACATGATCAGTTATGGATGCCATTATATATTTGAGGTATTTGTTTGAGGGGAAAAGTCTACTGTTAAAAAGTTAATTTGAAAGCTACCAGTTTAGGGGCGCCTGGATGGCTCAGTCAGTTAAGTGTCTGACTTCAGCTCAGGTCACGATCTTGTGGTTCGTGAGTTTGAGCCCGCATCGGGCTCTGTGCTGACCGCTCAGAGCCTGGAGCCTGTTTCGTATTCTGTGTCTCCCTCTCTCTGCCCTTTGTCTGCTTACACTCTGTCTCTAGCTCTCTCTCAAAAATAAACGTTAAAAAAAAATTTTTTTAAGTGAAAGCCACCAGTTTATTGGAAGAAACACTCCTGTGTTCTAGTATTAACTCTGCTGTGTAAGTTATTTAAGTTAGACTTTATAAAATGAGGTGATTGAACTGGAGGTGGTCACCAAATTATTTATTCAATAGATTGTCTTGCCCACTTTGTGCCAGGCAAGGATACAGGGATAAACAGAGAACATAAACCATGCCCCTGAAAAGCTCACAGAAGGCAGACAAATATGCAGAATGTGTCTGTGTAGCTATAGCGAAATGTTCAGGGAATCCAGGGAGCACAGAGGTGTACTTCAGCTGGTCCAATATTGGAATACAGTCTGTAGTTGCCTATTAAGTAACAATGCAAAAATCCCTTCATTCTTACTGGCACAACCTGTCTCTGAAATAGACTGAAAATGCCACCTTTGCAACTGGACATACGACCATTGCTGGTCCGTGACACCAGAGGAGAAATCTGGACAATTTTCCTTATAAACGTTATAAAAAGTTTTCTTTATAAAAATTGACAATTGTGCCCTTCCTTCCTGTCCCAACCTTGTTGCTTGAGGGCTTGATACTTAGTGTTACAAAGGTTGTCTTGAGACTGATGGCCTCAGAACAAAGGCTTCTATGTTGGTTAAAGCCAAAGAGAAAAATGGAAAGAGCCTAGATCCTTGATGTCAGTACTGAGCTGCTGAACCATCCCTATAGCCACCTACATGGGGAGTTACTGAGATGATAAAAATACTTATTGTTGGAACTCTTGCTGTTTAAAGTGGTCTGTAGTTCAGTATCGGCATCACCTGGGAGTTAACTCTCATCCCATATTAGACTTGTGGGTCAGTCTTTAAAGATCACCATGTGAGTGAGGTGCACATTAAAGCTTGAGAAGCACCAGTTTAAACCCCTTTTAATTGGGTATTCTGTTATATGCATTTAAAAACATCTTTACTGGGGTGCCTGGGTGGCTCACTTGGTTAAGCATCTGACTCTTGATCTCAGCTCAAATCAAGATCTCACGGTTCATGAATTCAAGCCCCGAGTTGGGCTCTGCACTGATGGTGTGGAGCCTGCCTGGGATTCTGTCTTTACCTCCTTCTCTGCCCCTCCCATGTTCTCTCTCTCTCTCTCTCTCTCTCTCTCTCTCTCTCTCTCAAAATAAACAAATAAACTTTAAAAAGCAAACAAAAAAACATCCTTACTGATACAAATACACTATAAATTGGCCAAATACAATTTTTTAAATAAGAAAATACTTGACCAGAAAGACTTCTAAGATGTATAAAGTTGCAAGAGACTATTATTCTTACATACCAACCCAAACAAGCAGTCTAAGCGCATTGTTACAGTTTTTTTTTAATGTTTATTTATTTATTTTGAGAGAAAAGAGCACATGCATGTATGTGAGCAGGGGAGGGGCAGAGAGAGGGAGGGAGGGAGGGAGGGAGGGAGGGAGGGAGAGAGAGAGAGAGAGAGAGAGAGAGAGAGAGAGAGAATATCCCAGGCAGGCTCCATGCTATCAGCACAGAGCCCAACTCGGGGCTCAGCTCAGTCTCACGAACTGTGAGATCCTGACCTTAGCTGAAATCAAAAGTCAGACACAACTGACTGAGCCACCCAGGTGCCCCTAAGTACATTTATTATAGTTTTTAAAAAGCTATCAGAGAGCTTGAGGACACAAAACATAAATGATTCTAGAAAGTGACAAACCCTTCTTGAGATTGATGACCCACTTCTCTCTTTTCTGAATGAAATGTAGGGAAAAACAGAAAACTACCATAGAAAGGAGTAAGGAGAAATCAGCCTAACTTTTAACAAACTTTTAATGACTGTGTATGGATTGGATGATAGATTAGAATCCACAGAAGCCTTAGAGCAGTGCTGTCCACTAGAACTTTCTGCCATGATGGAAATGTTCAGTGTCTATGTTAACCAGTGTGTAGCTCCATCTAACTAAATGCAGCTATCAAGTATTTGAACTGTGACTGTGGAACTGAATTTCTAATTTTAATTAATTTAAATTTAAATAGTCACATCTGGCTAGTGGCTACCATATTGGATAGTGCAGCACCCCCAGTTCTTTCCTGCAGGTCTTCATTTAGTGCCAGGGACACTACAAGAACAGACGCAATAAAGTAGAGCAGAGAGAAAATTCCTGAGGCATAGGTTTTCAGCTGGGAGAGACTGAGGGAGAGGCAGGAGGGGTGGGACAAATCCCTTTAAGGCCAACCCCAACTTCACAGAGTATAAAGCAGATAAGACTAGAGGGCCTGAGAGATTTGCCAAGGCCCCAAAATTAGGGGATGGGACTGGAAAACAAAGAGAGCTCCGTAGTCATCCAGAAAGCTGATGGCCTAGGCCACATATCAAGAGAAATCTCTCAAAGTTCACCATTCAAAAAGGGAAGATGCTCAGGACATCTCCAGAACCTCACCATGGTTATAATACAAGGTCTTGCTGAAGAGAAAGTCCTGATCCTATATTCAAAATGTTTGAGGCCAATGAGGAATTGAATCAAACTAAAGTTGCAACAAAGGCCAGATTTTCCTTCAGTTTCTGCCATACTTTTACACAAAAATGCTTAGCTTGGAGTCAAAGATCATAAGACACATAGCCCCATACTCAAGAAAATAACAGTCAATAGAAGACTCAGACATGATCCAGATACTGGTGTTATCAGCTAGGGACTTTAAAAATAACTGTAACAAATGCCAAGAAATCTGAGGGACAAGGTAGCACGCATGAACAAATGAGGAATTTCCGCAGACACGTGGAAACTATTTTTTTAAAAAGAACTAAATGGAAATGCTAAACATAAAAAACATACAATATCAGAAATTAAGATCCTTTAGATGGGCTTAGCAGAAAATAGCTGAACAGTTTTGGCCAGAGTCCTGGGAGCAGTCTATTGTGGTGGGATTCCTTATGGGTACACTAATTGATGTGTACCTTGAAGAAGTGCACAACACTCACTGATTCTAAACCCACATTCTTTTGATAGAGCACTGCATAGATCCATCAGGCCACATATTCTTTCACATTTCTCTGGTAGTTTCTTTGGCACATCTGTGAATCTATGCATAGGCCTTTTCCAGATCACTTAGTAAGACTTTTCACTTGTCCTGGGAGAGAAACTGGAGGCAATCTTAGTAACTCAGTCTCTGCCATGTGAGTACATCTTATTTGATCAGCAGTTGTGTCATTATCACTTCTCATTCTCTTCATGTTTTCAATCTTGCGTTGGACATACGGTAATAAAATACTGATTTTCACATAATAGTTTCTTATCAGGTAACCCTTGTTAGTTTCCATCGAGGCTTAGATGAACAGTGACCTAAAGTTTCACGAAACCACTTAGAACATACAGGAATTTCTTTGCAATTAGATCTTGAATTTCTGGAATCAAAATTGCCTCTGCCATCCCCTAAGTGACTGTAACAGCTTGTTGCTTAAGAATAAAAAAGTGGAGGGGCGCCTGGATGGCTCAGTCAGTTAAGCGTCTGACTCTTGGTTTTAGCTCAGGTCATGATCTCACAGCTCACAGTTTTTGAGTTTGAGCCCCACGCCAGGCTCTCTGCTGTCAGCACAGAACCTGCTGTGGATCTTCTGTCCCCCTGTCTCGGACCATCCTCTGCTTGTTCTGTCTCTCTTAAATAAATAAGAACTTGGGGCGCCTGGGTGGCACAGTCGGTTAAGCGTCTGACTTCAGCCAGGTCACGATCTCGCGGTCCGTGAGTTTGAGCCCGGCGTCAGGCTCTGGGCTGATGGCTCAGAGCCTGGAGCCTGTTTCCAATTCTGTGTCTCCCTCTCTCTCTCTGCCCCTCGCCCGTTCATGCTCTGTCTCTCTCTGTCCCAAAAATAAATAAAAAACGTTGGAAAAAAAAAATTAAAAAAAAAAAAATAAGAACTTAAAAAAATAATAATTAAAAAAAGTGGATTTTGCAGGGTCTTTTAAATCTCTCTAAAGTTTTATAGATTCTTAAAATTTATTCCTATATTCATCTTTTAATTCGCTATTTGTTTAGTAATTCATAATTACTCCAAAAAGATCCTATTTTTAATTTCACAAATAGAATTCCTCAGGTGTGTTTTTTTTTTCTTCATTTCAACTTGTACAGCCAAATATTGCCCTGGAAACTTATACATATTGAAGATGAAATGTTATTGTAATTGTTTATCTTGTTGACTTTTTCCTTCAGCTTCAATTGTACTTTTCATAATTTTTGTTAGAAGAGTAAATTTTTAATAAGTTAGTTCATAGCAGTAGTATTGGAATTAACAAACTGCTTTATTTTACAGGGAAAATATTTATCCCTAAACAGAAGCCTGTACAGACTTTCACAGAAGAAAAAGTATCTCTGGACCCAGAATTAGAAGAAGCTTTGACAAGTGCTTCTGATACAGAATTGTGTGACCTTGCAGGTATCTCCTAAAACACATTTGTGAATGAGTGTGGAGGGGAGGGGAGTACCAGCACATCCCTGTATACGTCATACAGATGCTTCCTTTGCCTAGCAAAGTGCTGTTGAATCAGTGACCACATATTTGGCTTTGTTTTGTACACTATAAATGTGACATAAAGGATTTCAGTTTTTAAAATACTGTCAGTGGTGAACTTTTTATGTTAATGGAATGTATTGTATTATTTGACATCTTTTCCCATGTTACCATATTTGAAAATCTTTATAAAAATCTTTCATTGGCTGGTGCTCAGCTAGAAGCTGTCCTATCTAAGCATTGAAAAAGAGTCTCCAGCATCAACTGCTGTCCCATTTTATCAGAAGACCTTGAGATGAGGGGCGTCTGGCTGGCTGAGTTGGTAGAGCATGCGACTCTTGATCTTGGGATTGTGAGTTTGAACCTCACATGGAGTGTAGAGATTACTAAAAATAAATAATAAACTTTGAAGAAAAAGAGGACCCCAAGATGAATAACTGGAAAGCATTTATACTCACCACTTTCCCATCTTTTCTGAAGTATATACGGAACACTCCAAACCGCCCTGTTGTTTTCATCATTGCCAGTTTCTTATCTGGACAAGTATCTCCCCCACCAGCCTCAGCACACACCCATTTTCCTTGGTAGAAAAATATGACATATGGGGATATCTTAGCACCAACTAACCCCAAGAGCTAACGTGTGAAAGAAGAGTGATGGTTCTTATGGAATGACCCAGGACAGGGACAATCGAAGTGTAGTCTACAGCCAGAGCAGGTGTCTTATTCCTTGGGGTGCTCAGGACTGAGGTGTTTGTAAATGGTGCTTTCATCAGGGTGGAGTGGGCTGGGGGCATACTGTAGCTTCTGCCATGTTTCTGCAAAAAGGGTATCAAAACCAAAAACCAAATTTATCTCTCCTGTCATTTTTGAGGGATGCTAGTTAATATCACAGATGAGAGTTCAACTATACTTTTGGTATTTTACCCTTAACTAAAATATGAATGTAAATGAACATGAAAGTTAACAAATGTAAAAATAACGGTTAGGTTGAAAATCTATCTTTTGCACTGTTCCTAAAACCTTGTGCGAAGTATTAACAGCAAACACAGATCATTTCAATATTCTCTCTTAGTTACCAAATGGAGCTAAGCATAGATTAACATTTAAGATTAGTCTGGCTCCAGTTGTAGGTCTGAATTCGGAAATGTGGGAGATCTAAATTCCAAAATGAAGAGGAAAATAAAAGAGTATTAATGAGAAAGGGATTGTAGGTGATTTTTTAATCACATTGTCTCCTTTTTTGGGGGCTGCAAAATCTGTATTTAATTGAGTAGAAAAATGTTCAGAAAACGTTAAAATCAAATTTTTGGTTGAAAAACCAATTCTTTATGGTTAAAACTGATGGAAATAAAAATAACTTTCTTTTTCTGTATTTATAGCTATCCTTGGGATGCACAATTTGATAACGAATGCACAGTTATGTAATATAGTGGGAAGTAGTAATGGTGTCGACCAAGAACATTTCTCAAGTGAGTACTTGTACTGTGTTGTGAATTTGAACCCTTTGTTAAATGTACTGTATTTTGTTATCTTCATGTATCAACTTCAGTATATACATACCAAATGTTACACATAAGTACTTGAAACCTAAGTAAGATTCCAGTTAGATGGTATTGACATAGAAGACTATTGAAAATAGAGTATTAAATATTCTTAATGTGTCAGCAAATGTAATAGGAACTACTCTCACCTCACTAAATAATACTAATGGGACGTGCCTGGGTGGTTCAGTCGGTTAAACATCAGACTTCAGCTCAGATCACGATCTCACGGTTCATGAGTTCAAGCCCTGCATCAGACTTCATGCTGACAGCTTAGAGCCTGGAGAATGCTTTGGATTCTGTGTCTCCCTCGCTCTTTGCCTCTCTCCCACTCTATCTCTCTCTCTTAAAATAATAAACACTAGAAAAAAAAATTAAAAATAAATATATAAATAATACTAGTGGTAAACACTATGAAAGCTAATCACACTTTGGCTTTTGTTGAGATTTTATTTTCAGTGTTACTGATTTTCAAGAAAACCACAAGAATGTTAACAAAGAAACTATGTTATAAAAATCAGATTCAGGAGAAACCATCTGAATCTGAAACTTTTATTTTTTTATTTTTTATTATTTTTTTTAATGTTTATTTTTGAGAGACAGAGTGTGAGCAGGGGAGGGGCAGAGAGCGACAGGAAGTCACAGAATCCACAGCAGGCTCTAGGCTCTGAGCTGTCAGCACAGAGCCCAACGCAGGGCTCAAACTCAACAAGCTGTGAGATCATGACCTGAGCCAAAGTCAGATGCTTAATCGACTGAGCCACCCAGGCCCCCGAATCTGAACCTTTTAATCTGTTACAGTATTAAATAGCCAAAAGCAAGGCTTTTTAAAAAATAGTTTATAGGATGCTTTAAAATGACCAAAGTAATACATATCTTTGTACCACATTTGAGCAATACCTAAGTGTATGACATAAGTAAAAGTGTCACTGTTCAGGGGCTCCTGGCTCAGTCCATTAGGCATCCGACTTTGGCTCAAGACATGATCTCACAATTCATGAGTTCGAGCCCCACATCAGACTGTGTGTTGACAGCTCAGAGCCTGGAGTCTCCTTCAGATTCTGTGTCTCCCTCTGTCTCTGCCCTCCCCCACTCACACTGTGTCTTGCTCTCGCTCTCACTCTTGCTCTCTCAAAAATAAATAAACATTGGGGCGCCTGGGTGGCGCAGTCGGTTAAGCATCCGACTTCAGCCAGGTCACGATCTCGCGGTCCGTGAGTTCGAGCCCCGCGTCGGGCTCTGGGCTGATGGCTCAGAGCCTGGAGCCTGTTTCCGATTCTGTGTCTCCCTCTCTCTGCCCCTCCCCCGTTCATGCTCTGTCTCTCTCTATCCCAAAAATAAATAAACGTTGAAAAAATAAATAAATAAACATTTAAAAAAAAAAAGTGTCTTTGTTCATAGCCATCATGCCTTCCGCTCTCCCCACCCCTAACCTTAATTGTTAACAGTTTGGTATATGTCTTTCTAGACTTCTATGTTCATACAAAGACATACACACACACACACACACACACACACACACGGTTTACATAGTCTTGTTTTTTACAAAAATGGGATCATACTGTAGATATTTCTTGGAACTTGATTTTTCTTTAAGTTTATTTTTATTATTTTTTTTAATTTATTATTATTATTTTTTCAACGTTTATTTATTTTTGGGACAGAGAGAGACAGAGCACGAACGGGGGAGGGGCAGAGAGAGAGGGAGACACAGAATCGGAAACAGGCTCCAGGCTCTGAGCTATCAGCCCAGAGCCCGACGCGGGACTCGAACTCACGGACCGCAAGATCGTGACCTGGCTGAAGTCGGACGCTTAACCGACTGCGCCACCCAGGCGCCCCAGTTTATTATTTTTTTTAATATTTATTCATTTTGGAGAGACAGAGACAGAGCATGAGTGGGGGAGGGGCAGAGAGAGCGGAGACAGAATCTGAAGCAAGCTGCAGGCTCTGACCTGTCAGCACAGAGCCTGACATGGGGCTTGAACCCATGAACCATGAGATCACAACCTGAGCCGAAGTCAGACGCTTAACCGACTGAGCCATCCAGGCGTCCCCCTCTTAACTTAACAGTTCCCCTCCTCAACCTCTCTTCCCCTTTCTTCATGGTATCCATTTCTTTAAGAAACTGGGTTGTCATGTCAAATTTTCCACATTCTCAGTTTGACTGATTGCAACCTTGTAGTATCACTTTTTTTTTAAATTTTAATCACCTGGTGCTCATCACAAGTGCAGTTCTTAATCCCCATCACCTATTTCACCCATCCCCCCCACCCACCTCTTCTCTGATACCCTTCAGTTCTGTATAGTTGAGTCTGTTTCTTAGTTTCTCTCTCTTTCCCTTAGCTTGTTTTGTTTTTTAAATTCCACGGAGGAGTGTAATCATGTAGTATTTGTCTTTGTCTTATTGACTTACTTCACTTAGCATTATACTCTCTAGCTCCACCCAAGTCATTGCAAATGGCAAGATTTCATTCATTTTTATGGCTGAGTAATATTCCATTATATATATATATACACATACACATACATATGTACATATATATGTATATAAAAAGATGTATGTGTGTGTGTGTATATACATATATATGTATATATATACATACACACACCACATCTTTTTATCCATTCATCACTTGATGGATATTTGAGCTGCCTCTATATCTTGCCTATTGTGAGTAATGCTGCTATAAATATTGAGGTACATGTATCCCTTTGAATTAGTGTTTTTGTATTCTTTGAGTAAATACCCAGTAGTGCGATTGCTGGGCCGTAGAGTAGCTCTATTTTTAACTTTTTTGAGGAAACTCCATACTGTTTTCCACTGTTGCTGCACCAGTCTGCATTCCCACCAACAAAGCAAGAGGATTCCTTTTTCTCCATAGCCTCACCAACACTTCTTGTTTCTCATGTTTTTGGTATTAGCCATTCTCACAGGTGTGAGGTGATATCTCATAGTAGTTTTGATTTGCATTTCCCTGATGATTAGTGATGATGAGCATCTTTTCATGTGTCTGTTGGCCATCTCTATGTTTTCTTTGGAGAAATGTCTTTTCATGTCTTCTGCCCATTTTTTGATTGGATTGTTTGGGTTTAGGGTATTGAGCTCTATGAGTTCTTTATATATTTTGGATACTAACCCTTCATCAGATATGTCATTTGCAAATATCTTTTCCCATTCTATAGGTTGCCTTTTTAGTTTTGTTGATTGTTTCCTTCTCTGTGCAGGAGCTTTTTGTTTTGATATAGCCCAATAGTTTATTTTTGCTTTTGTTTCCTTTGCTTCTGGGGACCTATCTAGAAAAAGGTTGGTGTAGCCAGTGTCAGAGAAATTACTGCCAGTGCTCATTCTAGGATTTTTATGGTTTCAGTTCTCACATCTAGATCTTTAATCTGTTTTGAATTTATTTTTGCTATGTTGTAAAAAGGTGGTCCAATTTCATTCTTTTGTGTGTTTGCTGTTCAATTTTCCCAGCACCGTTTGTTGAAGAGACTTTTTCCTGTTGGATATTCTTTCTTGCTTTGTTGAAGATTAATTGACCATAAACTTAAGGGTTTATTTCTGGGTTTTCTACTGTGTTTGTTGATTTATGTGTCTATTTTTATGCCAATACATACTGTTTTGATTACTAAAGCTTTGTAATATACCTTGAAGTCTGGAATTGTGATTCCTCCAGCTTTGGTTTTCTTTTTCAAGATTGCTTTGGTTATCCTGGGTCTTTTATGGTTCCATTCATATTTTAGAATTGTTTGTTCTAGTTCTTTGAAAAATGCTCTTGGTATTTTGAGATTGTATTAAAGGTGTAGATTGCTTTGGGTAGTATAGACGTTTTAGCAATATTTGTTCTTCCAATCCATGAACCTGGAATGTCTTTGCCTTTCTTTGTGTTGTCTTCACTTTCTTTCATCAGTGTTTTATAGTTTTCAGAGTACAGATCTTTTACCTCTCTGGTTAGGTTTATTCCTAGGTATCTTATTATTTTGGGTACAATTGTAGATGGGATTGTCATCTTTATCTCTCTGCTGTTTCCTTATTGGTGTGTAGAAATACAACCAATACGTTCATTATGTATCCTGTGACTTTACTGAATTTATCAGTTCTAGCAATTTTTTGGTGGAGTCTTTTGGGTTTTCTATATAAAGTGTCCTGTCATCTGAAAATAGTGAAAGTTATACTTCTTCCTTGTGATTTGGTTGCCTTTTATTTCTTTTTGTTGTCTGATTGCTGTGGTTAGGACCTGCAGCACTCTGTTGAATAAAAGTGGTGAGAGTGAGGGGTGCCTGGGTGGCTCACTTGGTTAAGCTTTCAACTCTTGGTTTTGGCTCAGGTCATGATCTCACGGTTCATGAGTTCAATCCCTGCATCTGTCTCTGTGCTGGCAGCACAGAGCCTGCCTGGCATGCTCTGTCTCCTTCTCACTGTCCCTTCCCTGCTCGCATTCTCTCTCTCTCAAAAACGAATGAACTTAAAAAAAAAGAAAGGTAAAATGATGAGAATGGACATCCTTGTCTTATTCCTGACCTTAGTGGAAAAGCTCTCAGTTTTTCCTCATTAAAGATGTTAGCTGTGGGTTTTTCATCAATGGCCTTTGTTATGTTGAGGTATATTCCCTGTAAACTTACTTTGTTGAGGGTTTTTATCATGAATGGATGTTGTACTTTGTCAAATGCTTTTTCTGTGTCTGTTGAAATGAACATATGCTTCTTATCCTTTCTCTTATTGATACATTACATTGTATCACATTGATTTGTGAATATTGAACCACCCAACAACCCAGGAATAAGTTCACTTGATCATGGTAAATGATTTTTTTAGTGTATTGTAGGATTCAGTTTGCTAGTATTTTGCTGAGGATTTTTGCATCTATGTTCATCAGAGATTTGAACTATAGTTCTCTTTTTTTGTGGTGTCTTTATCTGACTTGGGT